AGCGGACTTCCATGGGAAATGTCGCAGTGAATTCTAACAGGAGCAACAACACGGAGAACTTTCTTTTTTAAAAACACCAACAACGCCATCAACAACAGCAGCAGAAATAATAACACAAGTAACAACATTAGCTACGGGAGAAAAGTACTCCCTCCCATCCTCTATGCCAGCGACGGCGGGGATTGGCTGCTGACTTAACTTAAAAATGTCTTAAGAGGAAAACTTTGCGTTTTCCTTTTTTTGTTCGAAAACAAGTTGTGCATTTATTTTATTGTCGTTACTATTTTACGATACTTTCATTACTTGCAATTTTCAGGATTCTCCAAGAGATGCCATTCGCTCTCTCCCACTCTCCAGCTCTCCCTCTCTCGTTACTCCTCACTTTCGCCCTTGTACTTAGCCGCTTGATTTTCATTCTCCTACTTCCTTCTTCGTCTTCTTCTTCTCCATTTTGTTTCTGTGCTAATAAGCTTTTGTTGTTTCTTTTGCAGCTTAAAAACGCAACACAAACACCAACAACAACTAACTAACAAAGTTTCGCCTGTTTGAGTGCACGAGCATTTTTATTGTCGTTGTTGCTGCTTCTGTTGTTGTTGTTGTGTCATTGGGATTTTTTACAACTGAAATGTGTTGTTCTGCTCCATGTCAAAAGTTGTTAAAAAAAAGTTTCCTTTTTTGATTTCATATTCGGTTTTGTAAACATTGAATGCTCAGTTAAGACCGAAAGCAACATGGCTTTTTGTATTCCCTAATGCCCCCGGAGATCGAAAGTTGCAAAACTTTACAACTGGGTGGATTAAGGAATGCATCATGATCAGTGTTTTAAGTAAAGACCTTTTGAGAGAACTTTTCATCGCCAAGCACATGGGGTCAATGTAATGAGATGTGTTGTTGTTCTTTTTTGGATATATTCTACAAGTTGCCGGGATAGGGGTGTTTAAGCTTAGATCCAACTAGGCTTAAATTTATTCAAAATACAAAAATTTTACTCAAAGGACTACAAATTTGGTTAAACTAGCACCAGGTATCTTGTTTAAGAGAGTAGGATTTCACCAATCCAAAAAAGTATCTCCAACGAAAACAAGACAAATTTGATGATACTGAAATATTCAGTAATATTTGATTGATATTGAAATATTCAGTAGACTAGGACTGATATTAGAGATTTAAATTATCTACTTCTGTATTGCCATCAGCCAGTCTTATAATACCGATCATTCAAAAACGAAATAACCATTTAACCAGACAACGTGAACCCTGCATAAAAGACATGCACCAGAAGCATGAGAAATGCCAGAATAGTCAATACTTCGAGTATAAAAGCGGGGGAAAATAGATGTCACCTTACCCTCAAATATCACGCTATAAACTGTTAAAATCTTCAAAATACCGATTATAGCCGTTATATTGGAGTCTATACGAACACGTGGACCTGTATAGCCAATTTTTTCACGATATTCATGTAGGAAACTTGAAAAAAATATCCTTTGAAAAATACCGCTTATCGGGAGGTACCGTTATATGGGGGCCATACGATATCGTGGGCATACATAGACAATTCTCTATTTACAGCCAGATATGAAAAAATCGTATGTAATAAAAAATTAAAAAAAAGATATTCACTTTTTTATTGGCATATTTGGCGCCAATTTCTTAGACTTCATCCTTTTCAGGCAAGAGCCCATTTCGAATTGCTGAGAATTGTCAAATCAGTCCAGCGGCTCTTAACTTATAAGCGGAATATGTAAGATATATATTTCTTTTATATATGTATTGGACCTAGATATCGGATATATAGGGAATATCCGATATCTTGGCTATCAGCATCAATGTTATGGTCAGAAGTGTAATGTATTTCTGACTTGGTCGGGTTAAAAAATATTCGCGTTTTGGTGGAAATTTTCATATTTTTTCACATTAAAGTTATAGTTTATTGTACCCACTAAATATTATCCGATGACCGTCCAATTTGGTAGGCTTCTACCCAGCCCTAAACTCTAATTCCATGCAAAATTCCGTCGATTGGTTTATAATATTTTGCGACCATTTCCAAAAACACACAACAAAACATAGTGTTGTAGGGTATAAATATCATAAAATTGAACATAAAATATTCACTTTTTTATTTGCATATTACTGTGCATTTTTAAAGATTCTATCCATTCCTGCCAAAAGGCCACACTGGATTGATGAGAATTGTTAAAAACAGTTCAGCCGTTTTTGAGTTATAAATGTAGTAACTAACATATTTTGTTATACATCCGATATCTTGGTCATCATAATAGTCATTAGTGACCTCTATGTGTATTTCGTATTTTTCAGGGTAAAAATATTTTGGTATTTATATGCTACTCCACGTAGTGGTAAGAGTATTATGCCTTTGTGCATTTGTTTGTATCATGGAGAAGGAAGCGAGATGGACCCATAGTTACCTTTAAGGATCTTCATAGAATCACTGTCCGTCTGTCCATGTATTTTTGTGAACAAAATGTAGGTCGCATTTATTATCCGACAGAGATGAAATTTTCCAAACAATATCGGTTCAAATTTAGATATAGCTCGCATATATATCTTCAACCAATTTCGGATTAATTGTGCACCAAATGGCCAATATCGGTCCAAATGTCTTGAATTTTGGAACATCCGACAGAATTCAGTCTAGAAACAAGTACATCAAATATGAAATTCCATTCAGATACAGCTATAGCTGCCATATATATGTTTCATCCGAATAGACACTAAAATCCCTCACATACGTAATATGAACTCCACAACAATAATCTTTGGTACCAGATATCAGATACAGACCAGAAATAAGTGTCTAAAATTTTGTCAAGATCTCTTTAATTTCGAGTTAATTGTGCACCAAATGGCCAATATCAGTCTAAATGACCTGAATTTTGGCACATCCGACGGAATTCAGCCCAGAAGCAAGTACTTAAAATTATGGTGAAAATCGGTTCAGATATAGCTATAGCTCCCATATATATTCTTCATCCGATTTGGTCCCACAAATGCGCAATATGCACTCCACAACAATGATATGTATATCTTTATCTGATATCAGGTTTATTGCACACCAAATGGCTAATATCAGTCAAAATTTACTGAATTTTGGCAGTTCCGATAGAATTCATCCTATAAATAAGTGCTTCAAATATAAAAAAAATCGGTTCTGAAAAGCTATAGCCCCAGCATTTATGTTTCATCTGATATGGGATTTTAAGTCCCTCACATTATTAACATGCACTCCACAACAATGATCTTTATGGTACTAAATATCGGATACAGCTTAGAAATTAGGGTTTAACATTTTGTCAAGATCAATTCAGATTTGGATATTGCTCCCATATATATGTTGATCAGATTTCAGGTTTATTGTGCTAATATCATCCCAAATGGACTGAATTTTGGCATTTTCGATGGAATTCAGCACAAAAGCAAGTACTTTAAATTTTGGTGAAAATCAGTTCAGATATAGCTATAGCTCCCATATATATTCTTCATCCGATGGTTCGTTTTTGTTCCTCATATTCGTAATAAGCATTCGACAAAAATCATATTTGGTACCAGATATCTTATAGAGCTAGGAAATTCCTTTGCCAAATTTTATCGAGATCGGTTCAGATTTGGATATAGCTCCAAAATATATCCTCAATCCGATTTCATGTTTATTGTTCAAATAATAGCTAAAATCAAGCCATGATATTTCGGGACGTACGTTCTTATTTGGTGTAACTCGGCCCCGATATATATTTTTTAATATAATCCTTCTTGAAGTTATATCATGCACTCTATAGCAATTTTATTTGGTATAAAATATAAAAATTCGAAAAATCGATTCAAAATTGGATATGCCTTCCATATATTAGTTACTTCTGAAACAAGAATATAACTGCTCTACAGCCTATGGGGTGGTATGATTTACTTCAAATAAATCATTTTGTAACGCGAGCTCTACTAAACATGCATAGTGGTGTAGGGTATCATACAGGGTTGCCCATATTCGACGGACCCATCTGGCAACGCCATAACTTTTGACAGAGATGTCACATCGCTTAATGACATACCGCGTTTGAAGCGTCATTCCAAGCAGATTTTTACCATGAACCAATACACGCCACGCGAGCGCTCTGAAATTTACATTAAACAGAAGAAGTTAATTGTGAAAACTCAACGTGCTTTTAAAACATTAAAAAATGTGAGAAGTGCGCCTTCTAAGAACACCATTAAGCGTTTATACGAACAATTTTCGACTGGTAAGGCTCTTTCTAATCCGAAGAGGCCATATAAACATTAAAAATGTGAGAAGTGCGCCTTCTAAGAACACCATTAAGCGTTTATACGAAAAATTTCCGACTGGTAAGGCTCTTTCTAATCCCAAGAGACCATATAAAAGTCGACCAAGGCGATCGGCCGAGAATATCGCTGCCGTACGAGCCAGTGTTGAGAGGTCCCCAAGAACATCCCAAAAACGGCGTTCTCAGCAGTTGGGCATGGCTCGGTCCACTTTACAACGGATTATTCGCATTTATTTGCATTTGTTCCCGTACAAAATTCAATTGACTCAAAGAATGTTGCCTGCGGACAAGCCTCGTCAATTGGAATAGGCCCAAAAAAAAAAAACATGGGTCCGTCGAATATGGGCAACCCTGTATAGTCGGCCCCGCCCTACATTTTTAGCTTTTCCTTACTTTTCGTTTTTTTTTTTATCGTCGCGATGATCGGACGGATGGACATACATCATCGACTTATATCGACGAGATAGGAAGATAGATATATAGAGGTGTGTGGAAGGCCATAAAAAATGCAGTTTTGTAGTTCGCAATGGAGAGAGTACTTTAAGATTATTCCAGCCAGACGGTTCAAAACCCTTTTTTGAGCTTTAAATAGCTTGAAATCTTGAATCTGTTTGAATAATAGATGTCTTGATTTTTAAATTTTATGGAGACAGATTTTAAAATTATAGAAAATCTGCAATTAATTTCTTAAGAACTCACCTGAAACATAAAATCCGTATAACAGAAGTATATTCCAAATGTACATAAATATTGCGACCACATCCATTTTGCGATGATATTGAAGTTTCTAATGGGGCGACTGGCTGCAAATGTAACGCAATGTTGCTGTTGTCAACGATGCTGAGAATGATGCTGCTGCCGCTGCTGACAAATGTTGCTAAGCCAGCAGAATTAATAAAAATTCCCGTGTTGTTGTGATGACTTCATACAAATGTCATTGATGTTGAGGATTATGATGATGATGATGTCGCTGACGCTGATGATGATAATTGTATTTAAGTTATTTGTTGTTAGCTTCGAGCATATTTGTTTGCAAATCTCTATATTTTTCACTTGCTTTTTTTTTTATTTTATTATCACGCTCTCAAAACAGGCGGGTATTTTTTTTTATTTACTTAACTTTAAATGGAGCTCGCGCACAAAAAAGCACCTATTTGTATGGTTTTTGTCATTTTGTTGTTGTTGTTGTTGTTGGAGACGACGAAGAAGAAAAAACTTTTGCATATTTCATTTATTATGACAACACTTGGCATGCGGTTATTTGCATATTTTTACTTGTTTGTTGTCGTTGTCGCTGTTGTTGGTATTATTGTTGCTGTTGCTGTATTTTTCCCACTTTATTCAGTGGTGTTTTTGCATGATTTTGAGATCACATGGTTTTTGTCGCATAGTTTCTGGAATTTCTTTAACATTTTCCACACTTTGTCAGTGGCAGATGGTATTTTTGTTCTTGTCACTGTTGTTGTTGTTTTTATGGTTTTGTGTGTTTTACACTCTGTGTTGTTTTAGGTTATGTTTTTATAGTTCCGGCTTGTCACCTTCTAAAAGTGTTACAGCAAAACAATTTGTCCGCCCAGACATTCGTGGAGACGCCATTTGATCATGTGTAGACGATTTCATTTTCGATTTTACCGTTACAGTGCCGTTACCTTATGCGAAAGACGGATTATTTTCGTTTCGTCTTTGAAATCCTAAAAAAATATATAGATTTGTTTTTGGAGAGGGGATATTTAAAATTTAACACCACAAACCACACAAATCATTAATATTCAGTCTGTGTTGTTGGTGTGATTTCGGTTCGGTTCGTTCGTTCGGGATTTTTTTTTTTTTTGCCATCCACCCGTTTTGTGTGTTTAGTCACAGGGATTTAGTTTTTGATTTGGTTGAAAACACATTTTAAGCCTATTGGGATTGTCTTAATATTACCATTTATTTTCGGTTTTATTCACTAAAGAATACATCATTTGTATTGGTAGTGCGGCAGGATAAACACATTTTGTGAGAGAGAGAGTGTGTGTGTTTGTTGATTTTTCGAAAATTTAAACAAGATTTAATGATTTATTCGGAATTTAGGTATGTACATAACTATAGGTTATTTTGCATATCAGGTTGGTAGTCTGCCTGTTAACTATTTGATACGTAGATTTAAGGAAGCTGGTGGTGAATCATTCCTAATTAAACCAATTTTCAATTTTTTAGTTTCGAAGACTAAATTGACCTCCTCAAACAAAATACTAAAAATATATGTGGCTAACCCAGCTGAATTTATTCAATTGAAGTCGGTATGGTTAGAACGTGGTACATTGTAAAATTTTAATAAAACTTCGATCTCCAAAAATTAAAATTAAAATAAGTAAAAACGCAGCTAAGTTCGACCGAACCGAACATTGAATACCCTTCGCCATTTGGAACAATTTTGGAAATTTTCAAAAAATAAAATCCGTTAAAAATTCTGTTAAAATATTAAAAATACCGAATAAAGCCGTTATATTGTGGTCTATAGGAAGAGGTGGACCTGCATGGGCAACTTTTGTCATAAGCCATTACAATATTCAAATACGAAACTTGAAAAAATTCCAGTGAGTAATGTTGTCAAAAATTATCAAAATACCGAATATGGGAAGGTACCGTTATATGTGAAAAATAGGAAAACGTGGACTTGCATGGACAATTTTCTACCCCGATATAAAGGTACCTCCCTATATTCGGTATTTTGATTAATTTATCGACATTATTCACTGTATTTGACGTTTGTATTGGGTACTAATACAAACGTCAAATACAGTGAATAATGTCGATAAATTAATCAAAATACCGAATATAGGGAGGTACCTTTATATCGGGGCTATACGAAGACCTGAACCTGCATAGACAATTTTCTATCACAGGTAGGAACTTTAAATACGAGATTTGAAACAATTGTCAAAAACAAATGTCGCTAAGATCATCAAAATAGGGAATATCGGGAGGTACCGTTATATGGGGGCTATATGAAGACATGGACCTGCACAGACAATATCCATAATGAACTTCAGGTACCAAATTTTAAATAATTCCGGTGAATAATGTTGTCAAAAATGATCAAAATACCGAATATGGGGTGGTACCGTTATATATGGACAATAGGATAACGTAGACAATTTGCTATCATAGATTGTAGTACCCAATATGATCTTCAAATACGAAATTTGAAACAATTCCGGTTCAAAATGTCGCTAAAATCATGAAAATACCGGCTATTGGGAGGTGCCGTTATATGGGGGCTATACAAAAACGTGTATCGACGTGGCCCGTTTACGAATTGAACCTGATCTGTATTGGAATAAGTGGACCGATATTGTCCAATATCACAACTAATTCACTAATTTAAATTTTTACCTTTGTATGGGGGATACAAGAAAAATTGGGCTATATGCCATTTAAACCCTTCTCTAATATTGGTCAAAATGTTAGGATGTGCTGTGAAGTTTGAAGAAAATCACACATTTATTTTACATCCCACGAATTTCATGTTTAATATTTCAATTTCTTTACATCGGAAGAGAAAGATGGGACGATATTGTTTATCTCTGAACTCGATTTAAGTTTGATAAATTTTATAACCATTATTTTTTTGCGATTTTGGACCAAATCGGATATTTCCTTTGAATTTTATCGTGCGAACAAATAGACAGACGGACGGAGATACGTCAGATGTAAATGGTTAGATCGGCTCCAGAGATGGTTTTTTAGACATTTTTGCTAATATTCAAGTTATCGCTATATATAGCAAAATATATACAATCTCATATAACGAAGAAGGAGATGTTACTTATACCGCTTACAAGAACGGCTGGAGAGACTTTTACAATTGCCACAAATTCAGAATGGTCTCTTGGCCGAAAAATATAAAATCTAAAAAAAATCGCATAAGAAGATGCCCCAAAAATGTGAATATTTTTTAGCGTTTAAAATTAACTTAAAACCTAAAAATTGTCTAGATTTTAAAGTCTCCCTACAGTTCGCAGCTAGAGATCAATAGAGATGGAATTTTTTATTAGGTTAGAGTGTACGACAACGCTGAAGTTTAGCACTTTGGGTGGTGAAAAAATACCAAAAATTTCGAAAACACAAATACATGAATGTTTTTTAAAAGATTGTTGGAAAATATTGGTTCCAAATCAATGATGATTATTCGACATAAGGAGTTATTAGGTTCAACATTTATGTAGTAGATATGGGGATGTTTCTTAGTCAAAAGGTTTCATGTCAGAAGGATTTCAAATCTTCAGACATTTTACAGATCATTGTAGTTTTGTAAGGTATCAAGTGTTTGGTCGCGCCCGTCTATAGCCTATGATACTTGGTTTAATATAAATATTTGTTATTTTCCATATTTATACCCTACAACACTATGTGTTGGGGGCATTATAAGTTTGATTGGGCCAAAAATTACGTAACACCTCATAATATTGGTTTCCCACATTGAAAGTATATATGGATCTTCGTATCTCGACGAGCTGATTCGATCTAGATATGTATGCCCGTCTGTTCATGTAAAAAAATTAAGAATATAGGTGAGGCCTGGGCCAGTATAGAAGCGTATAGCTTTTGGAAATAATCGCATAATATTTAGCATGGGGCTAGAGCTTAAGACTGGGCAGAAGTCTTCCAAGTTTGATGGTCATCGCACAATATTTAGTGGGCGAAATACACCATAACATTTGTGTTAAAAACAGTCAAATTTTCCATTAAACCGCGAATATTTTTAATCCTGGCGAGCAGGATGCCGATACTAAATATATCGGATATATATAGCGAAATATATACAATGTGAATATACAAAGGAAGGGTATGTTAACTTATATCTCAAGAATGGCTGGACCGGTTTTGACAATTTTTTTCAATTCAGAATGCCCACTTGGCATAAAAGAATAAAATCAAAAAAAAAATCGCATAAAAAGATGCCAATAATGATGTTAATATAGATTTTGTAGTATTTTGTGAATTTTTTATTTTTCATATTTTGTATCGCATACGATTCTTTCAATTTTTACTTAATATTGAAGTGTATAATTTGGTTGGTGTTATTATATTCATATTGCAATTTTCGTCCGATTCTCACGAAAATTTTCACAAGGGTAGGGTAAGGCTCAGAAGGGATGACCATTGTATTATATTTAGCTGTAAAATAACAACTAACAGCGCGACGGAGTGCGTAAATATTTGGCAAATATCCCTGTTCAAAATGCTAAGCGTAATAAAAAAAACGTTTTTGTTTTAACCCAGAACACCAAGAGTGGCACTCATCACGAATTGTATAATTCTAGGTCTTTCCACTTGTTATACCCTCAGCCATATGGCTAGAGAAGGTATATATTAAATGATACGGCCAAAACGTGCTTCATCGAAATAACTGTTTTAGACCTTAGGTCTCCTTGGGCCAAATTCGTTTGAGGACATTTGGAGTCGATCTAGCAATGTCCCTTTGTCCATCTGGCTGACATGATAACTCTCGAAGAATGTATCCGATCCGGCCAAACTTGGTACATCGTAATATGATTATAAAACTTAGATCGAGTTCGGATCTAAGACTGATATTGGTCAGAAGAATATATTTATGAGAGCTTTATATAAATTTTAACCGATTCTCACCAATTTCAACAGGATTCGTTCTTGGGTGGACACAAAAATACATGGACAGACGGACGAACTGACATGCATAGATCGACTCAGAAAGTGTTTCTATGAAGATCCTCAAAAGTAACAATGGGTCTATTTCGATTCGTTCTTCATGTTACAAACAAATACGCAAAGACATAATATTTCTTACCAATATGTGGTGTTGGGTATGAAAATCGTTCTGAAGTTTGTCTTTAGATAGAGACACTCATAATGGTATTTCAAAGATCGGACATTTATTAACGATTTTTACAATGAATAAGCTATAGTATACGGTGGCTTTTTACAAGTTATCAATAAGATGGGGTCAATTTCAGGTCCATATAAATATATTCTTTAGAAGGGTGGGAACGTTTGAGCAGGAGGTCAAAACTGAAAATAACTGAACATATTCTAAAAAAATATATATTTATTGCAAACTTTCCTGAATTCCAGTGGAAATCTAGCAACAGTGTAGATGTACGGTGCACTCTTTTACTTTAACATTTTTGAATCACAATTAAATAATGAATGTTACTTGAAAATAATATCGGTCAAGTATTTCATGATTGGTTCTTCAAAACATATAATTTCATATTTATTCTTTGACATTAATTTGCGTATTATTTTTTATTTTTTGGTTAACATTTTTCACAAGCGAACATTATTTTATTTAAGCTTTGCAGAACACTCTAATATCCTCGTGATATATATGTACGCACACAAAACACTTTGGGGTGTTACCGGTAGGTGCGTAACATTTTATCTGTTTCTTCTTTAACAGTTGCACTAAAAAAAGTTCTCCTTTACTGCAAATAACAATGCAAACATTTAAATTGATACGTATTGAAATTGGATTGCATTTACTTTGTTGTCGTTGTTTCGGTCGGGGCTGCTGCTGCTGGTGTTAAATTTTTATTCGATTACCACATGTGACTAAAAACATACGAACACACATACGGACACAACTGCACAGACGTATCTTGGGAGAACAATGTTCTTCTCTCAGAAACAAAAATCGGTGCACTTAGGTTTTGTTGTTTTT